TTTCCAGGTATTTAAATGACATGTAAGCTAAGAAAAACAATGACTCTTAAATTCTCCTAAATTTTAGATTTTAAGTACTGTCTTAAAAATGAAATTAAAACATTTTCTTATCATTTTAACTTAAAAATCACAAACTTAAGCAATTACTTTATATTGAAAATATGACTGCTCTGTTACTTTAATATGCTGTATTCTTTTAAATATTACAGATAATAATAAAAGCAAGTAAATACAGATTTCCTTATCACAATATTCATCATTTTAAAATTTTACACATTTAAAAACTTCTATATATTTTTTATGAGGCAAAAGATGCTATCTATTTAAAGGAGAAAAAAAATGTCATCTTAAGCAAGCACAGAGTTATGGTTCCAAGTAACAATTATTGCTGCTTTCCAGTTTGACCACATTTCTTATTGGCTAGAGATACTGGCTGGGATTTAAGAAGGGAGCTTCAGATGTCATGATGTTTCATGATCCTGGCTGCCACAATGTTGTGGATCCCCAAACTTAAAGATAGTTGATTAGACAACCTCTTATCAGGGTTGGATTCATATCATTGTCTAATTTTTATGTCTTCTTATGAAAGCAAGTGACCTCCAATCCATCAACATTCTCTTACTCAATTCTGTATTCTTTAGCTCAAGTCTAGAAAAATCTCTGAACTTAATGAGAATCCTGCATTCTTTTCATATTCATCTTATCTCTTAGGGTCACAATTCGTCTAGGTTTTTAAAATGACATCAGTTTGAATTCTGGATCTCTCTCAGGTCTTAGTCTAAGTTGTTTCAACTTCTTGTGATTTATAGGCAAGGTACTGTGTCCAGCTTGATCTATCTTATTATGTAATGAGCAGAATAACTTATAGTGAATGTTTTAGTCGAAAGGTAATTCAGTTTATGAACAGATCAAATAAATAACTCTAAACAACAAAGAACAGAAGAAAGCCATTTGTACAAGTCTATGCACACTCTGATGCCATTGTAAGCCATTTTATTTTACGAATTACCTAATTTTACCATAACATCTAACTTCTAGGGAGTCCTATAAATGTATTTGCACATTCATTCATAATAATCTTAATTTTTGCCTCATCCTCACGGAGTAGGAATTGAGGTGTTTTATGAGTAAATTATCTGTGAAAATGTCTTACCTATTTAGAGAGGAAAGAACTAGTGAGACAGCATGCCAAAGCTGTTTGAATACAAGCTACCAAAATAGCAGGTGTCTATTTTTTCCCAATGAAAAATAATACTGGTTTGCCTATTTTCTAGGCATTCCATAGAATTAGGTGTATACTTGTATCCTTGTTTCCTCTGATGGTACATTCATAGGCTAAAATATTAAAATCATTTCAAATAAATGCTCAGAAAAAGATGCCAGAGAAATTCACTGGATAGATTGATCATCATGAATTCAAAAATTTATAAACTAAGTCAAATGCTTAGGCAATTTACAATTTACAACTCATTCCCTGAATTTGACAAATTCTTTCACATTATTGCCCTGGTGACATTCAGTCCAACTTAGAGTGTCTGGGGAGAAAAAAAAAAAAGTACTACATATGGGTTTACTCCTTACAAAGTATAAGTCTTTTGATAAAATATCCTGTAGTTTCTCAATATAGTTATGATTGTTATTTTCACAACTCAAAGATTTCATCATAATCATAAACTCAGATACCTCAGAAGATTAAACACATTCTATGTACCCATTTTTTTTTTCCTGGAAGATATAACCAGTGGAGAAAGACAGTGACAGCAAATGCAGTTTACCTGAAGATATGATGTAATTCCCAAATATCAGGGCTCCCTATTAAGACAGCCCTCCCTTCTCTGGAGGGTGGGTTTAACTCACAAAGAGGCAAGAAAGATACAGCGCCTCTGACTTCTCCTGCAGCAGGCATTCGAGGGAGTCAGTCATATCTCCCATAGGAAGGGCAAGTCACCCCCTCTGTATGGGACCTTGTCAGTCTGTGTCTATCATCCTTTCCAGAATCTTCCTTTAGGACATGGAGTAGGCAGAAATCCTTCCCTCCAGTTCTCTAAAAGCAAATACATGCAGAGAAGGAAAGCAGTCATTCCTCTTCCCTTGAAACCATCCTCTTCAAAATTTTACTTAAGATGTTTTTACATAGATACAGCTAAAAACGTGACCCTCCGTAATGGTGAACACATTTACTTCATATCAAAATCCCTTATAATAGTTAATAAAGAATGCTTTTGTAAGATACTTTTTCATGTTTGAAATTTTTTGTTTACCTTTTTGAACACCCAATATTTAGCTTTTCAACATATGAATGAGCATAAAGGCAGGCTTTATATATATGGTAAATTACTTCCAAAATTGTTTAATGTTTTAAGTTTCTCATTATTTCCTTTTTTACTATTTTTTTGTATATTTAAGGTATAGAACATGACCTTTTGATACTCATATAGATATTGAAATAGTCAAAGATTGTTAAATATTTTAAATTATTTGGATTGAGAGCTGAGCAAGTCACAGGACAATATAACAGATCTTTCAGGCTCAGATGTAGGAGTTGCTCAAGTGCCTATAAATCATGAGAAGCTGAAGATGAAAGGGACCCTAGACGTAACCTCACGCAAACTCCTTATTTTATGGATGAGTTGCATAGGAGATAATAATTGACATGCCCTCGGTCACAGATGATCTGAGTAGGAGAAATAGGGATAGAACACAGGATCCTTGAGTCTCAGGTCTTATTTGTACCATGGTGTGGTTCTATTTTAGCAGAAGATTATAAGAAAGTGTCTTTAGATCTGGGTTCACACTTTACTTCAATATGAAAACGATGCCTACTTGTATTTCTTCCCAGGTAAATACAATTAGTTAAGAACATTTCAGGAAAAAAAAATTGTTGACACTATCTGTCTGAAATTCCTTTGTGAACTAATTTTGTACTATGGTAAACTGCAATCGACATTTCAGAAATTCATGTTATTAATATTTGGTGAAAGAAGAAATATTAGATAGAACTATATCAAATGAGTCTGATGTTTAATATGCATTTATATTTGTTACCATTGGATTGACAGGCTTATCTCAATAGTTGCATAGGGAAATCAAGCCAAGCATTTAAAATTTTTGGAAGTGCATTTGAGTCCTAGAATACTTTGAGTTTATGTGAACTCTGTGAGTTTACTTCATGCAATCCTATATCAATTTGTGGAAGATGACTTTTTTCATAATTTAAAACAATTTCTGACTAACAAATCTCTTTTGAGGGTAAGTGCCATGGTCTTTTTGGATAAGTGTCTCTTGAAGAGTTCATTTTTTTTCTCATTTTGTTTCAAAGTCATTGTCTTAATTTTCTTTCACTTCAATACATTTCTATGTTAAATAAATCTATGTAACCCATTATCCTTGGAAAAAGATTAAGACTTTCAGTGTTATGATCAAAAAGTCCCATAAGTTTGCTAGAAAACTTGTAACTTGCAGTGAATGCAAGGCTATTAACTCTTGCTCTGTTGTACACAACTCACAACCTGGTAGAAGAGAAAGACACCAAGTTTTCACATGAAGCTCCATGTTAATTTGAGTAGTTACAAAACTCTCCCTTCCTTCTTCATATAATGCCTTAGCTTTCTCAAATAAATTAATAGCCACTCTCCAGTTACAATTTGAACACAGTTTTCAGCTAGGATATATAAATATAATAAATAATGTAGGAAATAATGTTATGACTTTGAACTATGAAATTTAATGTTAAAGTTATTCTTTCCACCAGATAAATCATCACTAAATAATGTTCCTACTAGGGAGGAATTTTGGAAAACATTTTTGCTTGGAAGAATGCTATTTATTTTCTATTTTGTGCCTTATGCCTTATGACTACCTAGAAAATAGATTGTCATTTCAGAGTGACTTATTATTGTCAGGTCCACCAATACTTGGCTTAATTTCCTTATCCAGCCATGGAGATGAGCCTATCAATCCATATAGTAACTAATATAAATACATATTAAACCTAAGGGTCATTCAAATATTGTCCTACAAATTTTTTTCCATGAAAGAAAATTTGCCGTGCATGAATAACATCCTTATTAATTTGCCTTTCTTTTTCAAGGAAAGTAAGTTACTATTTTTCTTAATTTATTTAATTAAACCATATTATACAGCATTTGTGTCACACCTTTGGTACGTACCATTGTCAAGTTATTTTCAATCATGATTTGTTTCTAGCTCATACCAACTAAAAATATAAATTCTCTTATTATTGTACTGCTATAAAAAGTCAAATGATAAAACATGGAGGTTCCATTTGGTTAATCATGCTATAATATAAACTGAACTTTGGAATTTGCAATATAATATTAGTGTTAATTTTGAATAAATTTGATCATATTTGTTTTTAAATATATTAGTAGCATGGCTCCTTATGACTTCTAGGGAAATCTATTGACTTTGCTGGATTCAAATTTCAGTGGTCAGTATGAGATGTCCTTGTAAGTCATGAATAAACATGGTATTTTTAAACGTATCCTTTACCAAACTCAAAGTCTGGATGTTGAATCTAAGAGCATTATAAAGACAATATTCGTGGGGTAGAGAGAGAAGATGGGAGGGGAGGGAGGGGGGATGGTAGAGGATAGGAAAGGTAGCAGAATACAACAGTTACTAATAGGGCATTATGTAAAAATGTGGATGTGTAACCGATGTGATTCTGCAATCTGTATTTGGGGTAAAATTGGGAGTTCATAACCAACTTGAATCTAATGTATGAAATATGATATGTCAAGAGCTTTATAATGTTTTGAACAACCAATAAAAAAAAATTAAAAAAAAAAGACAATATTCGTTTTGTAGTACAACCATATCAAATTATGGAACTTTGAATAACAATGGTGTGAAGTAGCTTTCTTCTAGTTCTTTCTAGAATTAAAAGAACTCTAGGAAATAGTAGCACTGCTACTTTCCATTTACTTTGTGTTTGTTATAGCAAATCCAGTAAAACTGAAGGTTTTTTACCCCTACAGGTTTGGGATGAAAATCTTGCAAAATCTGCAGAGGCTTGGGCGGCTACTTGCATTTGGGATCATGGACCTTCTTACTTGCTAAGATTTTTGGGCCAAAATCTGTCTGTCCGAACTGGCAGGTAGGAAGCAGTTTTGCTGATACAGTTTATTTACATGATTTTATTTCATGGGAGAATTATTGTATTATATGGGAGAATTACACCAGTTCCAAGTGACATCAGAAGATATTTATTTAGTGTTCACTCTGAATCAGGCCTCGATATTTGGTCTATGAATATTTTAGATGTCTTCAAGAATTATGAAATTAGTTAAAAAGTCCAAATAAGACCAGGTTCCCTTTCAACACTTGCAACACTTTCCCTTAGTCTGTATCTCTCACTGACCTCACAAAATCCTAGAAATGGTCACATGTATGATGATGTGTCCCATTGCCTCTTAGGAAAAAATTCCAATTGTGGCAGAAGCCATTTGTATTTGTGTGTGTGTGTGTGTGTGTGCGCGCGCGCGCATGCGCAAGCTTTCTCATAGTTGTATGTATCTGCACATAAATAAATTGATTAGTAGACAAAATAAAAAATATTTATATTTACATATATGCATATATATGCAGGCATATACAACTATGGAGAAAGCTATTCCCATTGATAGGATACTTTTTCTCCCAGTGTGGATTGTCATTATCTAGTGTTCCAAAGTTTCATTCTTTTTCCATATAGGGAGAAAAATCAGGTGTGCTAATATTAAAATCAAAGTGATCTAAATTTAAGGAAAAAAATGCATTTAAAGCTAGTATTATGACTACTTCTATATATCTAATTTTCAATTACTTGAGGACATAGATTAAATAAGATTTTGATAGCTCCTAAAATATTTAAAGTTTCTTTCTTCAAAATAACCCAACACATATTTAGACAAATATAGGGTCATTTCCTCCAGTCCTGGACGTTTGTGCATGCTTGCTACTACTTGGAAAAATTCCAAGAGTAAATATGCTGTTGGATACTCATGAATAATCTTTTTATTAAATCAACTAACAATGTAACATGAGTCCATTATAAATTACCATTGCTATAATCATACATGCTTTTTTTTTTCTTTTGACATCTAGATATCGTTCTATTCTCCAGTTGGTCAAGCCATGGTACGATGAAGTGAAAGATTACGCTTTTCCATATCCCCAGGATTGCAACCCCAGATGTCCTATGAGATGTTTTGGTCCTATGTGCACACATTATACACAGGTTGTTTCAATTGTCTTTTTAATGTTCAATTCATATTTTTTAAAAATCTTATTATATATTGAGGGACATTCATTTTCTTAGCAATATTGGAAAATATTGGTTTATTTTCACAGATGGTTTGGGCCACTTCCAATCGGATAGGATGTGCAATTCATACTTGCCAAAACATGAATGTGTGGGGATCTGTATGGCGCCGCGCCGTGTACTTGGTATGCAACTATGCCCCAAAGTAAGTACCAGGTTGTATTCTGTTTCCTGGATCCCTGAACGTGTTAAATATCTCCAGTCTCATAGGCATTTTTGACAGATAAATGTGTAAGACTTACTATTCATTTGGCCCCTAATCCTCAAATCCACCATCATTTATTCCTATATTTTTGAAAAACAATTAGGTAAAAGGTTTCTTTTAACAAGGGCAGGGATTCTGGGGTAAAATGGTAAGCAAAACAATCTGAGACAGTGTTCTCACTAAAGTCTCCTTACCATCTCCTGTCATAGCAATTGCAAACACTTCCTAATCGTACTTTGTAAGATTTTAATAACTATATAGAGGACATCAGAAAAGAATCTGCTAGGAACTTATCAATACACAATAGTCTCATATATCAATATAGAATGTTGTCTCACCTTTTTCACTAGGAAAACACAATATTGGAAGTGAATCCTTTCTTTCTTACTATTTTTAGATTTAAAAAATTCATATTCTCAATCTTTGGCCCACATAGAATATATTATAGAAATTTATCAAAAATTATAAAATAGTCATATTTATGAACAAGCTATAGTATAGAAGGATCAATAGACATTTGCCAACTTTTGAAAAAATGCCTTCCTGATAACAATAGCTCTTTAGAAGATAAAATGCTCCAATATTTATACACAGTTCTGTTCCCATTTGGAATAAATAACAAAATGTGCAAAGGATTTATGATACTCTTGGTGTCGTCCAAAGTAAGTCCCAAACAAAGATTTTCTCCAGCTATTCCAACACAGGGTGGGAGTGAGAAAATGTGTCAGGAATAAGTGCATTACTCATTGATATGGTGGTGTGCCAGTGGCAGTGTTTTTGTAAAGTTAGAAAAATAGTGATTTTCCAGATGGTCCCCTCTTTATAATTATTAGGTTAGGGAGGTTTGGAAAACAGAATGTTTATTAATAATAATAATTCTTAAAATGTAGCATTAAGAATAGGCATTAAAACTGTGCATTTGTTGGACATTTTTATTTTCCCACTTTTTATTTTCCTATTGTGCCTTTCCACTTTCTCCTGCCATAAATAGGCTAGATAGTAACCAAATGGTGAAAATGGTATTTGTTTCATCCATTTAAGAATTTTGGTTTTGCCCAATGATTAGAATTTTCTAATATTATTGATGAGCTCCATGATTGTTTTTTAGATCCAAAAAATTAAGATATTGCATTAACATGCTATATTTTAGTTTAAACAAAATTTTCTGGAAACTAGGTAATGAAAAGTTTAAAAATCTTGACTGGTAGGGAAAAAAATAAGAGCAAAAAAGAGAATTTAATTAGATGGAATAGGAAAAAAGTAAAATAACATGATCAACCAACTGATTTATTGTTGAATATAATTAATTCAATAAAATCTGATATTTATGTAAAAGTTCTTAATATAATATAGAATGTCACATATAATAAAATTTTATTTCTGATTTTTTTCTTACCAAAAATATGTGTTTCAAAAAGTGATGGAAAATAAGTAGAAAATAAAATTTAGATACATAGCCTGGATCCATATACATTTTTAGCTTTGGGTAATTAGATACAGAATGGAACGAGATGGAGTTAAGAAGCCAGGCACACTTAGAATGGGCCTTGAATGTTTCAGGACAAGCAGGTGATGTCATTAGAATTATGCTTGGTGAATATTATCCTCAAGGCAGACTGCAGAATAAATTAAACAGAAGTGGAAAGTCTTAAAATTCCATCATTTTATAATATTAATAATAAATTATCAAGCTTTTCATTTTATGGGTAAATTTTCCTGTATGTGCATTTTATTTTTTTTAAAAAGTGGGGGTCTTTATTTAATTGGCTACACTAGATATTTTCATGTCCTCATTGTCATTGCCTATTTTTTTTTCAGAGTTTAAAGAAGATAAGAACCACTTGTTTCACATTTTAACCTCTTACCTGTTATTTTCATTTCCTCAATCTTAGGTTTTTAACATTTATAACCAGAATTTCTCCTGAAACTTCAGTTTCCTTCACATTGCTCTCTATATTAGTATTTCTTAATGCTCTAGTCACTGTCACCATGCAAACTTCTCCTTCATAATTGAAAGAGTCAAATAACAGTCTGGTATTGCAGCTATTTTAAACTTGTCTAAATGGTGAATTTGGTTTATTATGATGATCATGGCCATCCATACAGTGGAAGAAAAATATTGATAGCACAAAATAATTCAGTCAAATGTGTTCAGGATTAAAAAATAATAGCAGTAACTGAAAAAATTTGAGTAGCTATGAATTTGAATTTATATGTTAGAAGGGTTTTGAAATCACCTCTCTTTGTCTCTATAAACCCTCATTCTCTTACTATGAGAATACAGTTGTGCTTTTCTCTTTATTTTATGAAGACTGGGACCTAAAATATTTTAAAACTTTGTAAACACATCTTATGAACATTTATAGCGTATTTATTGTGGATATGGTGACTTACTCATTTCATAATTTCTGAGCATCCCAGAACATACTAGGTATTTTGTTAACCATCCTTAGGAAGAATTAGCATGAGTTTAGAAGCATTAAGTTTAAGTGACAAAGACCTGATTATGTGCTCTTGAAGCCTGCCAGAGGAGGCAGATTTGTGGATGGAACATACTAGAGTCCCATGATCTGGGGTATCACCATGCATTGTAGGGCCTCATTTCTTACCTGTGAATTAAGATAATACTAGCTTACACAGAAAGAAAGTATTTTAAGAGCAAAATATATAGAATACCTTATGGTGGGAATAAGAAATGGATGTACTTTTAGGTGGCTTTCTAAAATAAGCTTCTGAAAAAGATTCTCATCTGCCAATACATATGAGCATGACCTTAAGGACAATCTGATTTTTAAAAATGAGTGAGTATGACTGATGCCATTTTGTTTTCTCCTTCCAGGGGCAATTGGATTGGAGAAGCACCATATAAAGTAGGAGTGCCGTGTTCATCCTGTCCTCCAAGTTATGGGGGATCTTGTACTGACAATCTGTGTTTTCCAGGAGTAACGTCAAACTACCTATATTGGTTTAAATAAGCTTACCTTTTTCTCCAGGAAATGTCATGGTTTCTGGGAATCATAAGCATATATATATATTGAATTTTGCACATATTATACATATTTTATAATGATAAACTTGTTTCATTTTAGTATTCATTTGTATAGTATTTTTCTAGTATGCCGTTTAATCCTTGAATACAATCAAAACATCCATTTCTATTTTCTGACCTCTAAATTAAAATATTGTATAGGTAGTGATGACATAGTTGATGCAGTCAATTCCAAAACTTGCATTCCAAAGGAATTATGATATTATGTTCCTAAAGAATAAAATATACCTTCGACCTGTAATGTGTATGTGTGCATTATACACATATATACGGACATATGTGTATGTATATGCACACAAACATACTATGTGATGCAACACATAGATATTACAATACAATGGTTAACTTGAGGAAACTTTAAAAAATATTCTAAAATATATTTGAGGTGGTGGTACATCTTAGCACCAATTCTGTAATATGCACAAAAATGATAGTTTGCAAAATAACACTCGCCCAGTGATACCTGAAAATAATAAGTCAATTAATGGATCAAACATTTCAGAGTTATTTTATATTATTGGAGTCTTCCAAAGGCTGTGCTCATTTTATGTAAATTTATACATCCCACCTTTTGTTTGGTCTTATTTGATTGAATCAGTAGTCACATGTTGAGTTCTTTCTACAGGCAAGGCACTCTGGTGGTTATGTTCTGATAATGCAAAGATAATTGGATAGAGTTCCTGCCTTAAGAAGCTCACAGAGATATTTAGGAAACAATGCAAACAATTGATTTTTTTCTGCAAAATTGTGTTTGTTTTTTTTTTTTAACAAATTGTTTTTCACGTAGCTGTGAGAAAGCGAACACAGCAACAGCATTCACCTGTAGGTGGACTAAATGATAATCTGGCTAACATGGAAATCTGATTCCCAGGAAATTTCAGCTACAGCCCTTGGAAAAAGAGAGACAGAATAAATGACTCCTTAGAAATTTCTGGAGCAAGACAGATAGTGGTGACTTTGGAAAGCTGAAAAAGCAAGACCCACAGAAAACTCATCAAGAACAGAGAAAGCGAGGTTTAGAGGACAGGTGTGAAAAGTCACAGATATAGTGTTAATGCCCAAAAAAAAGATCAGGGGGAGAGCTTCAGAAGGGCATATCCTGAGGGCTAGTACATCTCCAGGCCCATTGTGAGATGGTGAAGTAGTTCAGGAAGAGATGAGGTGGTGTTTCCACCTTCTCATCATTGTTCTGCCTGTCATTATCTTGTGTGTCAATCATCTTGGGCCTTCCATTATCATATTAAAGATCTTTCATACACACCACATACAGCTATGGTTTATATTAGCAAAGCCCTCTTCAGATTTTTCCTACAGACTAATTACTAATTATTGTTTCTAGGTTTCTGTGGGAAAAATAACATTTAGTTCCTCATTAACTGTAATTTATTTGATTTATGTGAAAATCAAATAAATCACTATGAAAATTTTACTGCGGTGATTCAAAAATTATGATTCTTCACTTACATAAATCTTTCAGAGTGGAAAATACAACATCTGGGTCAAGACAGTGAACCCATTACATTTCACATGTATGTATGTTCAGTCAGGTTGTGTAATGGTTGCATAGGATTACAGAGCAAGTAAACATGGTTAGTTCCAGTGTGCCAATAACAGAAAGAAGCTACTAGTTTAAATTCTGTCCACATTTGCAGTTTCTTAGGGTGGATACCTTGAAAAATGACACTTAATTAGAGCCACTCCAAGGGAGAATAATCCAACATCTGGAGATTGGGTCTACTTGATGAAAAACAACTGGCCTAATTACTATTACAAATTAAATATGGTGACCAAATGTTTTATATGAGACTTCTCTGCTTTTGTGGGCTTATATGTGGACCGTATTAAAATAAATATGTTTGGGAATAAAACTAAGAACAGAAATAATTATATGATTTAGGGCTCAATCCAACTTTCAAGTCTTAAGATGCCTAGGCAATTGGACCGAAAGCCCATTAGTGGGATATTTGCTTGATTTTTTTTAGGAAGTGTTTCCATCCTCAATGTTACTATAGTATTCTGCAAAAACTGTAGTGAGTACTATTCAATAGATGTTGACTATTCTCAGTGCCAGTTCTTTTGCTCGCTTGTTTGGGTAGCTTAGTTTCTCAGTTCTCAGAATAATGAAATTTGCTCTGTATTTCATAGAGATTTCTATGAAGGTAAATTTGCCAAAGTAATAGAAATTTATAAAAATTAAAATTATAATTAATAGAGCTCCTCTTGGCATGAACTTTGTCTAATTCTTTGTATTCTGGCTTCTTCTACAGTAGCTGTAATGTAATGAGTGTTTAATGAATGCTTATTTGAATGGATTTTTAGAATTAGCTTTCAAAGCTTATTTAGAGGAATCCCACCTTTCCTTTATTTTTGTTCAGATAAGACTATCTTAAATATAAAGCTTTGAATATAACAAAAATCCAGATAAATCATCAAACTTATTGGAGTAAGACTAGGATCTACATACTTATAAATGACACTTACATAATTGTTCTTTCCAAACCACAACTAGAACCATAACTTTATTTATAATTTAACAACTAAGCTAAAAATTATAACGGGTATATTTGTTATTCTATCTATTCTTTTTAAAGTTAGTAATATAAAATGGCCACGCGAAATATTTTATTTTCTAAGCTGAAGCAAATGAAAATTTGCTAGTATCAAAGTAATGTGTCGTATTTTTCACAACATGCAACAATGGTGCTAAGAGAATCATTTCACACTGTAATTCCCAGAGGCAGAAAAAGTCTGGGAATAAGCTATTTCATAAGAGCAGCTTTATTTAGTCAGTATTAAGGTTTTCATTTGGAAGGTTTCATTCAAAAGAAATAGTAATTGTCATATATGCTCTAGTACATTGGCATTTTCCCCCTCACACCACCATTTATGCCGTAGAAAATTCAAAAATTTTGTCAGTTTTTTTGGCCTCCATGTCAGCAAAAATCTGAAAATTTTTTTTACAACTTTAGCTATTAAACTGGTTCATCTCATTATGGAATTGTCTGTGAGCTGTAGGCATACTCTTAATATTCCTGGTTAGGATAGATAAGTTGGCTTTAAACATGTGGAAGAAACAATTATTAGTACTGTTGTTTTTTTTCCTTTTGTTCAGAAGTCTAAACACCATTACTTCTGTAGCCCATCAGAACTGTCCAAGGAGTTTCATTTGGCCATGTGGTCACCTTCATTTAAAATACCCATGGAAACATTCATTTGCAGATTCCATGCAGCTGTAGCAGAGAGTGGACTGAACTAGAGAGCAAGTTCAATCAATACAATTAACTCTGAATATTTGAATTGGAAACAATATATATTTTCCCCACTTATAAATGCATGTGTTGAATCAACTTATAATATCTATATAAGTAAATCAAACACATATTTATGTCAGTTTAAATGTTTTAGGTTCCCACCCTGCTTATTAAATAAACGTACAAGCTAAACAAATAACTCAAATGTTTCTAAGAAGGAAAAGTAATGCTGAGATCTTGGTCTGTTTTCCAACATATGACAACATACCTTAGGTTCCATAATATTATACAATATAAACCTTGCCATACATGGAAGCCTCTACCTACTGAAATATATAAGAATAATAAATTTGTGTTTCTATTAATATCTAAAATTATTTTTGCTTTTATATTTTTTTGTATTGTCATTATATCTGTGGATGAAGACTTTTAAACACATGCAAAATGATTTTTAAAAACTATGTCATGGTCTAACTTTGACTTATGAAGGGTCAGTCAAAAACTTAGTTTAATTTCTCACTGGTCAATGGTGCTAAAACACATTACAATTATTGTATACTTGCTATAATTTTGAGGTTTCTTTGAAGTGAAGGCTATTACTAAGGGTGAATTATCAATATCTGTTCTGGTGCTAAATATATGGTGCTAAATGAATTGATAGTGTTAATGGCTTTAGTAATGTTCCTTTCAGTCATTCATTTCGTGACTCACATATTAATATAAACCTTTATTAAATTAATCTTCACCAAAATCAGACCAGTTAAATCTTTCTGTCTTTTGGTTTAACAGTCCAACATTATTGAGGTGTTGCCTAATGTAAATATTTCTTAAGGAGCCATCTATTTTCTTCTTTGAGGCATATTTTTTTAGCTTGGCAATGCCCAAATTCAAATATCTCCTGAGGGTGAGATTGCCCTGATTAACCATGCTGCAGGCCCTGGCGCCCTCTGGTGGTTGTAAAACCAAACTCTTGATGGCTCCTTGGCCTACTGCAAAATCCATTTGTGCTCAGTAAATAAGTTGCATAATATTAAAGTTCTCTAATACTCCATAAATCTGACAGAATTTAGAATGCTTGACTCTATTGACATACTTTTCTAAGATAAAGAAGGAGACTTAATATATCCTGGCACTCATTTTCCTTAAAAAATATTATTTTTGTATGATTTTCCAGTTCTAAGGTGCTTTTTAAAGTGTATTTTTTTTGAACAAGGTATTACTAGAAGATATTTTATTTGGTTTATATCATAAGTACAATTATTGTTAGAATTATCAAAAAGAATAACAGCTGTGTCTTATTTTCAAGAGCAATAGTTTAACTTTGGTTAGCATAGTAACTAAGATAAAAAGAGAAATACTAAAATAATAACTAGTTACATATGGAAAAGAATGATATTGACACCTTTAATTGTTGATCTATTTCTTGACAATGATATTTGGTCAGATTATTGAAATAATGATAACATTATTTCATTCAAAGTCCTTCTAGACTAACAAATGTACACAAAAGGTGAGAATTGTGTCACCTATAACCAATGAAGGCAATGCATATTCTCAGGCAAAATTTTAGTTAAGATATACAATTGACTGAGGGTGTTAAGTCATTTGTTTTGACAGATTTCTTAAACTATGCTAGCACAAAATTTACTTTGAAGTTACCTTCCAAATTAATATTTTCAAATTGATTTTAAGGCAATAAACCTTTTCTATAATCTAAATTTTATGGAAATAGATTTTACGAAAATATCCTATGAGGACCTCAGTTATTTCTATGGTTCTTTTAAATCTTCAGTTCACTATCCATGTGTTTAAGCCTGTTAGTTTTGTGGAGAATCAAATGCTGGTACAAACTGGTGCCTGGTTAATGTTTCAGCATCTTGTGTTTTGTTATTTGATAAGCAGACTTTTGGTACCATAATATGAGTTAGAGGTGATTGTGATGCACATATGAAAACAACATGTTTTTAAAATACATAAATATGTTTCATATATTTATACAGTCCTAAAACATGCTACATTATTTCAGGTATTTTTTTAAAAAACATTAATTGGGATAAGTTTGATTCATTACCTAATGCTGTAGCAATGCAAGGTGCCTTTGATGTTATGATCTAATGTCATGAATGTGTACATATATAACACCTGTGTAAACCTTTGTTCTTGTGGATCATAACACATGTAGCTTTTTGAGTTCCTCTGTATTATTTTTTTTCTTTCAATAAAATATTATACTTAATTTTTTGTTTTTTGAAGTATATCTAATTGCTTTCTTTTTCAGTGGTTTTAAAATAAACTCAGAACCAGATGATATGATTATTTGGGTAAGAAATGACCTCTTTTTCTAAAGCAATAATGATTATACCTTCAGAGCATCACTGCAATACACCAAGTTTTCTGTTTTTCTTTCTCTTTTGTTTTTTCACCTCCCACTCTTCTTCTTCCCCCCCTTTTTCCCCACTAAATTGGAGAAAATATTTTGAAGTGTCAAAAAAATGTTTTTCATGAAGAGAGAGGAAAAGAACAATGTATTAAGATGTTCTGGGGTAAAATTACTGTAGTTGACCATGATTATCTTCATGATTTCCCATAGAGATGCTGTAGGCATCACTGCATGAAAAGAAACTTCTTGGGCCACTAATCATTTGGTGATTCCCAAGGTGGGTCACCTCTTTGCTGAGATGGTAGATCTCACAGACTAATCCATTGAGATGTAACAGAACTAGGACTTTATTTAAATTTCTTCTGTTTACAAGATGAGAAAGCCTAACTTAGAGTTTTCAATGAGGTTCTCCCACCCCAGCCCTTTAGTTCTCTCTCAGCTTCTTTTTTCTCTTGCTAGTCCTCCTTTATTTGAATCACTTCCTCCTATTTCAATTCTCCAGTTTCCCAGCCTCATATATGAGACATTCCATCTATCTGCAGAGGTAGTGGTAGGCTTCCATTAATTGATGTATGTGCGTGTGCGTGTGCGTGTGCGTGTGTGTGTGTGTGTGTGTGGTTTGCAAAGTCTCACCGACTCATCCTGACTTAAAATCTCATCCTTCTAATATTGCATACATTTAAAGGTAAAGGAATGGGGCATGACTGGCAATAGTTTCCTGAAGTCTGTCCAACCACCAGTAAGAGCTATGGCCACTGCCCTCATGAGAAGCAAACACATCCTGACAAAGCAAAATAACTTTCCTGGATACAGCGGATGATGCCCTTGTGAGCACAGCACTGGCTCCCTTCTTCTCTATGCTTACATGCTATGGGAGTGACTGGTCCCATTGTAGCAAACTAGAGAGGTGGCCCCCATTCATATCAAATCCCTTTGACCCCAATTCTTTCCCCTTGAGGGAAAACCAGTGAGGTTTTGACATGTTCCCCTCATGGAAAGTCTATTAATTAAAAGGAACATGCCAACTTTTGAAAGAACATGTGAATTTTTACTAAACTTGAGTGCAGACAGTAATTGATTCTATAAATTTCTACATAACTCATTAAGCAATTTCATTAATTATTATCTATCTCAGAAACATTTTTTTCTGAAAATAGAAAGTGCCCCCAAACACTTTAACCCTAATATTATGGTTGAATATAAAAAATTCCCCAAAGGAGTCAGGTTTGGAAAGTTTGGTTCCCGATGCAGCAATGCTCAGAGGTGGTGATTGGATCATGGAAGCTCTGACCTGTCAGTGGGATAATCCATAGATAAATTCATAGCCTGATGGGCTATTGGGAGGGGATGGAAATGTTGGGCAGTGAGATCTAGTTGATGATTGGGGGTTTGCTCTTGGAAGCTGTATTTTTGTCCCTGGACACCCTCCCATCTCTCATTTTCTCTCTCTTTCTTAGCCACCTGAGGTGAGTAGCTTTGCTTCACATACCCTCCCTGCCATTGAGAGAGATGTAAAAGGGAAAAGGCATCAAGGGCAAGATGGTGAGAGAGGAAGTAAGAGACAGGTCCAGACCAAAGGAATATGGAGAAGATCCACCCATGAGGAAACATTCCAATTGACAAAAGTACTCATGAACACTATTGGGGGACTCAATCAGATAGACACTACCATACTTGGTGCATCTAAGTAGGGGATCCAATGGACAAACTAAAGTAGATGTATGGACACAGGGAACAGGGAACACCAATGAACAATAAAGAGGAGAGCAAAGACAGGAGAGAACATTTAAAAAAAAAGAGGCATTCTAGAGACCATAAAAAGAACAATCCAAAACTTCTCTAATGGACTCCTAGCTCCAAGGCTCCTTCTCTTGCAGAAGTCTGTTGCTATCGCTTGCAATAAAATCTCTGCTTGCTATCTCCGTGTCCTGTTCTTTAATTCTTTGCTTAGCAGAGACAATGAACCCAAGACTCCTGGATAGTAACTCATGATGTTTTAGCTCACTGAAAGTCCACAGCAATGGATTCAAGTTCTCATGAATTGAATGAAATCTCTGAAACCTGAGCCAAAATAAATCTCATAAATCTCTCCTCTTTTGAGTTGATTTTCTCATGTATTTTGTCACAGAGATAGAAAGCTAACATACCCACTTTATCCTAAAAATTTTTAAAAATCTGTGAAAATTCTATAAATCCCAAAATTTGTCAGTATCTTTAAAAATTACATATTCATTTACCCTTTGACCTAGCAATTCATCTTCTATAAATTCTTTTCAGAGATAAACTGGAAAAATATGAAATATTCTTTTGCACAATGTTTAGCATTACAGCATTTTAAATAGCAAAAGGCAGATATAGCTTCAAAGTCCATCAGAAAGAGGCTAGCTACATCATACATTCACATAAAGGAATACTACTGCCTTAGTCCGTTTGGATTACTAATAACAAAGTACCATAGACTGGGTGGTTTGCCCACAAAGCTGGGAGCTGTAAGTCTGAGGTCAGGGTGCCAGCATGGTCAGGTTCTGGTGAGGGCCCCCTTCAGGGTTGCAGGCTGCCCATCCTTACATGGCGTAAAGGGTATGAGCTAGCTCTCTGAGGCCTCATTTATAAGGATAATAATCCCATTCATGAGGGCTCCACCTGAATGACCTAATTACCTTCCAAAGACCTTACCTACCATTACTGTAACACCAGAGGGTCAGGACTTCAGTAGATGAATTTTGTGGAGATATATTCAGTCCATAGACACTATGCAGTTGAAATGCAGAGGAGAAAAAATTCTCTAATAGTGTTCTCCCAGGATATATTGCTAAATAAACAAGAATAGTACACAAAAATATAACTAGTATGCTGCCTTGTTAGAAAAATCAGGGGAAAAAGACATATAAATCATGTATGTTTGTAATACTACTTGTTTTTATTTGCAAAAAGAAAACTGGAATAATGAATTCAAAAACAACAAAAATTATTTCTGGGAGTAGTATGGAAAATGAATGCAGGAACAAAAATATTTCAAATAACTTTAAAACAGCATTTTGAAAGCACATCCTTAGTGGAATTTAATGTAGAGGCAGAATTGCAAAGAAATATCTAAGCTTATTGAATAGTTTGTAGGTAGATTAAGTGGGGAAGTGAGAACAATGAAAGAGAAATGAGAATACTGAAAAAGAGAAATGGAATAATGAAAATGAGTAATTAGAGTTTTTTTTTTTTTCAGGAACTAAACTTTTTCAATGTTAAAGTACTATTTCCAAAAAAGTTAAATAACACTAAAATATTAAACATGATACTGAAATATCAACATCAATATTAATATTTTTTCTTTTGGAAAAATGAATGTTTTAAAAAATCTGAAGAATGAAAAGTTCTAGAAGCTGTCACAATCAATAGGAATAAGCGCACTTAGTACATGGATTGTTGTCTCCAGTATCATTCCCCGTAACAGTAATACCTGGTCTTACCGCAGCTACTTTCAACCTAATCCAAGGTACTGGTGCCTCGCACACAGATTAGTGGCGTACAAAGTGAGATTTGTGTTTCCTAACAAGGATATAAGAAGGATCATTGAGATTAGTACATAAAAACACAAGAATTATATACATACAATATTATATATTAGTGCATAAAACATAAGAATTACATATAATATTATATATAATATTTTTTAAAATTAGTTTCCTATAGGTTAATGGATTGACAGTGATTGTCCTCAAGGCAAGGACCTTACATGTCCTGTCTGAAAGACTGAGGAATGTTCCTGGGCAATGCATCATTATCACCTGTGTCCCCCTGAGGCCATTCACTCTTAGGGTTTTCCTACTTACTGCTTTTAGTGAGGCAGGGAAGGAGATGAACTAATTTTGAAACCCAACTTTTACTTTACATTGACAAATATTGTTAGAAAATTCCTGCAGAACAAAGAGTGAAAAATTTATCAACAAGCACATGAGCTAATTTTAAGAAATTAAACAACTAGCTGGGAGCTGTGGTGCACATCTGGGATCCCAGCAACTTGAAAGGCTGAGGCAGAAGGATTAAAAATTTGAGACAAGCCTCAGCAATTTAGTGAGATCATGTCTCGAAATATAAAGGGTTGGGGATGTGGTAAGTTCCCCTGGGTTTGATTCCTAGTAGCAAAAGTAAATAAATAAATTTTAAAAAGTAGAAATGAAAGAAATGTAATAAATGATAATTACCTTGCTTCCTTGCTTATGACAACAAGCATTCTGTCAGTTACATTATGAGGTATAAAATAATAACAATCCAATCAGATATGACACAATAATAAGAACTAAAAATGCTTAACCCTATTTGGAATAATATTAATGATTAATTTAAAATAAATATTTTCCTTGATAGATTTGCTAGTGACAAACTCATGATCAGCAAACATTTTAAAACTAAATATAAAAGGATTCCCAAAATTAGATATGTAGAAAACTTTTCAAAATATTTTATCAGATTGCTCTAAAAAATATGAAATATTAATAAAATTAAAAATTCAAGTTCTAATAATAGGAATACCAAAATCATAGTTTGATTTTGTTTTAAAAACAAAATGTTTTTATAATTTCTAAACATTTTTATTCTAAATATCTTGCTACTTATATTTTATAATGAGTAATCCACTAGTTAATGGGATCTAATATCTAATAGTTAATAAATATGAGTATGTAATTTACATCTCATATATACACATTGATAGATATATGTATGTATATATATATAAAATCACATATATGTATGGATTATATATCTATCTAGTGGAGGTGCAAGAGCCAAAACTTTACAAACCAGTGTATGCATGGTTGGAAGTGATAGTTCTGAATACTGCAGCAATGTCCAAACCTGTC